TGTAGGGTGGCCGGGTGGAAGGGAGTTGTGCAGGGCTTCTTGTAGTTTACAGCTCTGCCGCCGATGTCAATTCATTTCATGTGTTTTTCGCTGTCGGACTGTGTTCGTAGAGCTTTTCTCCCTGCTCACCCCTCCCTCTTCTCATAAGTATTTTTCTTTCTACTGTTTGTTCAGTGTGATGTTGTCTGGTGGTTGCTGATCACACGGTTTTCATGGGTACCCTATGCGCTTGGCTCAGATTGCTCGTGGCTCCACCTTCCCATCTATTGTTAATGAGTTAAACGGTGGTTTGAAAATTCGAGACGCGGTGAATCCGTCATTTCATGGTCGATTAGAAATCGCAACCAAAACTTGCCCGTGCTGCAATGATCCTTTTACGTACTGGTTTGATCTTTTCACTGGCCTCAGACTTACATGTATCTGCATCCTTTGATAAATTCCTTTGCTTGGCAGACCACGCAAGCTCGGGGAAACAAGGAATAAGCCACAGACTCACCCGGGTGGAACATCAGGTAAACAAACAGATAAATTTATGGGAAGAGTATCGTTCAGGTAAAAAAAGTCCACATAGCAAATTCTTTGAAGCACCGGTTTTTATTAACCAGTAAAAACAGCCCGAGCATTCGCGACTACTCCACAAGTTTTTACGTCGGCATGACGTCATATCATTGCGTCATGTTCCCTGGCAACTTAACTGACGTCAATCCATTCTCGTAGACAAAAGTTGTTTGCCATTAACCATGTTTAATTCCGGAAATTTCGGTCAGAATGTAAATGGTAAGACAATTTTGACACGACCAGCCGGAAAATTTCCGCAATATACGGAATGTCAGTTAAAAATTTCCAACCGAAATTCCGAATGAAAAATGTCGTTACCATTTGCAGTTCTTCACCAGTTCCAGCCGCCATCTTTAAATTATGATCAGGTCGAACACATCTTCGGCTCTTTCGGTAAATTGGGGGTTGTTATAAGTAAATGGTCAATGGCCAATCCGGACGAAACGTATCACCAGGGATTTTGCTTACTATTTGCACAAACCGTTGACGGACAGGTTTCTTCGCTTAAAAGGTAAACGAGGATTTCTGTGGACCGTGAATTTTGTGCCTGTTGTTTTTCGTTGGATCTAAAACACGTACGAGTCCGGGAATAACCGTAATAAATTTGTATTTCAGTTATTGAAAAGTGGAAAATGCGAATTACATCTAGTTAAGTACTGCAGTGGTATGTGTATAGTAACGTGACATTTTGGACATTTGACAAAAGCACCAAGTCGACAGCTTACAGCAACTGTCTTTTAAACCTGAGTAAACAAGTCGACTCTTACCTCGCTCGAAAGAAACAACCGAGACTGGAAGTGTTTCCCCCATAAGAAGGTGGTGTAAGGGCCCATACAGCCGGAGCACATCTCGTTTTGTGTAGCACCAAGCGACTGTTTGACACAGCTCTGCAAAAAAAACGTGTACTGTATTTTGATTGCGTGATGTCAGTTTCGTTCCCAGGTTCTCTCTTCCCGCCGTCGAGAGAGATCCTGGGAACGAAGATGGCTGGTTCCAAAAATTCAAAGCCAACGGCAGCAATTAATCAGAGATAGCTCCATGATCTCGAGCGAGGGAAAGATGAGCTTCCAAGTAGAGATGTATGTTTGCTCAGGTTTTCTTACTACGTGTTACGTGCGTTTGTTGTCATTTCATTCTGTTTAATTTTTCAGGTGACCGTGATTGACTCGAAACTGGAATTAGTGCTGCAGATGTTACAGAATATTCAGAACACACGAGGCTCTCCTTCAGGAGGTAGCCACTCGTACGACTTGCATTTTCGCGGTAACGGCGACGGCGTATCTTCCAGGCGTTCATCCGTGTCACGCGCGCACTCAGATCCGTTAGACGTCAGGACGCAAATAAGCTCAGAAGCGCACGGCGTGACTACTCACGTGGTGCGCAACTCAGACATTCCTTGCGTGACTCTTAGCGATCCTGAATCGTTTCCAAGTACGGGTTCACGGCCGCTGTCGCTGAGTTCTGTGCACTCGCATTCGTTACACGGGAGTGTTTCTGGCGGAGAGCAACATCAAAACGTGGACCAGATAGACAACGTTTGCCTCAGTGATCCCGGCGCTCTTAGCGCACCGCTTCTGTCACGCATTCTTGTTAACGACAAGAGACAGTTGTCTGACGTGACTGAAGAGAGTCTTGGTGATTCGAAAGAAAATGTAGGCGGTTTGACACCCCCCGGACCAATATCTCAACAGAACTCGACCGCGTCTGATTGTGAGCCGGGTCCGGGGAGTGCAGATAGCTCCTTGACTGAACAAAAAGATGAAGAACCAGTTTGGGAAAAACAAGATACAGGTTTAGAATCTCGACGGCGGAAAAGGAGTCTTTTAAATTTAGGAGAAACGGAGACAAAGTTGCCAGATGATGAAGAGACATGGGACGCCAAAAATCCCTCCGATACAGGCCAAGAAAAAGATCCAGAGACATGGAATGTTGCAGAACTGTACACAGGGACACCAGAGCGAAGAGATTCTCCCAGCGGAGACAAGGGCACTTCACGGAAGAATGCCCAAGGACAGTCTGACGGTGAGCCTTCTTCTCGTGCGGTTGAAGAAGGACATTATGATTCGTCAGTTAGGTCTGCGCCGACGAGGATGTCGGCAAAGAGGCGTCCTCTGGTGAAATCGAATCCTGTGGAGGTCTAGAACGCGTTGAAATTCAAAACGCCAAGAATATATGACCAGACTTGGGCAATGATCATCCAGGGATTTTCATCAGCAATTATCCCGCTTTTAGAAACTGCGCCTTAAGGAGTATCAACTCCAACAGTGATTTCGCGAAGCCCAGTCGAGGACAAGATTAGAAGAGTTTCCGATTGTTTTGTCGTCCAATAAGAAATTGCAAGAGCCCTACGGGATTTCCTTCGCCGGGATTCCGACTGTTACAAAGGGAACTGGGCTCGACAATTCTCGCAGATGATTAGTACTTCTTCCCCTGATTGCCTGCTCCGGTCGAAAGAAAACGTGAGAGGAATAAGGAGAATAATAACGCGCCAGTTTTCCTTATCGCTCAATATCTACTCACTCTTTTATGTAGAAAAAGGAACACCTCAGGTTTTAAGTAAATTTCAAGAAAACAAATTCCGCTAAAGATCGAGTATTGCCTCGACACGCAACAAGACAAAAGTTCTTCGCAAACAAAAAATTTCTTAGCTCCAAGTAATTTTAGCAATGACTTAAAGCACCACAAGAAATCTTCTTGATGAAAGATTTCTCTGAAGCTGGACTCTTAGGTGGTGCGATTCTTAATGATTTTTTTTTTTGAAGGCACTGATTTTTGGCGCACAATTGCTTGTGGATAGCATTGCTTTTCGCGAACAAAATATCGCTATGAAGGAGTTGACATGGCCGCCGTTGCGCGCGTTTTATAGGGCAGTAATTTTGAACGCTGTTGCGTTAGAACGTTTGCGTTAGTTTTGTCCCTTTACGGGGAGTATTGATGAGAAATTCGCAGATCTTTTATTTAAGTGCAAGCTGGATTGTTTATTTGTTTTACCAAATGGCTTGTTTTATCAATATTACTGAGATTTTTCTCGTTAAAGGTGTATTTTTATAGAAACTTATCTGTATAATAGTGATGGAGATGTACAGTTAAATAAAGCGACTGTGAATAGGAGGATCTTTGTTTACAATATTTGCCTCATTAGCATAAGCGATAACATTTCTGAAGGAGCTACACAACGTTATTTCTAAATATGGAAAGGGCACAGCACGATTAACTGTAGCGCGATGTGTTGATTACTTTTTGTGCGACGCGGGTTTAAAA